TTTTTGTGCGTTTGCGTACCACTGATTTGATTCCAGTTAAACTTTTGAATGCTATTCGATGTATTTATGCAAGCCCCATTTAAAACAACTCTGATTTTGCAGATTGTTGGCCTTGTTGGCTCAATTGACAATGATTTCTGCGGTACGGATATGACCATTGGCACGGATACTGCTCTTCAACGAATTATTGAAGCCATCGACTCGGTGATGTCAACAGCGCAAAGTCACCAACGCACTTTTGTCATTGAGGTGATCGTTCTGACTTTGTCAGCTATCCTGCATAAAGTTCCTTGAACAAGTTCCTTGCTGGTGTATGCCGTCGAGTGGCTCATAGTTCGCTTTTGAGCTGTGTCTAAGCGCTACACAAATTCCCGCTTAGAAGTTTTCCTAACCTTTGCTTGCCTCTGACAATAAAATTTGTTTGATTAAAGTTTGTTCAGTTCTTTAAAATTTGTGATACTCGCTTACTTTACCCGTTTTTCGATTTGTTTCACTTGCCATATGCACTTTATAAAGCATGCTTTTCAATTCCCATCAGAAAGCTGATGATTTTCTCTGCACAGCAGTAGTCATTCAGATTTCAAAGATCTAGTCGAGGCAAAAAAAGGGGCATAAGCCAGATGCGAGTGCATCTATGAATTTCCGCTTTACTTGTAGCATATAGATCATGGTTGCCATCAGCTTGCTTGTAAGCAATCCTCGAAAGAAGCAGCTATCTATAGCCTTACCAGCTAGCGGTTGCTGTGGCATTTTCTACCACTCGGGCTATTTCCCGAATGCCTCTGCCTTTCAGCGAGAGCGAACATGATGGAGTTTTTGACTTTTTTTATATAGATCGTGAATTGCATTGGAGGGAATTGCCAGCGACTCAGTTTTATCCACAGCTGTCCATTTTATCGCATGTGCAATTGCAGGTGATGGGCCGCCACTGTGGCTATTTGGCACTCGTGGCTGCCTTAGCATCCGAGGCAGATTTTTGTTTTATCCCTGAATGGCCAGTTCCAGTTGACTGGCCTGCAGTTCTGTGTTACAAGCTGCAAATGATGCGTAAGGAAGGATCACGCTTGAATATTATTATTGTTGCTGAAGGCGCACTGGATCGAGACGGCAAAATTATCACAGCGGACCAGGTTGGCCACTTTGTTAGTTTATTGTGCAATGGGAAATCATTTTCTGGTTAGCGCTCATATATTTTAGAACGATCTTTAAGCATCTTCAACGTCAGTGAAAAGTGACCGCTTGAATAACTAATGCTTAGAGTTATGCCTTTCGTTCTCTTGCAAAACAAAAACGAATGCTTTTTATTTTGTAGTAAAATCTGGAAGAGTTTTGAGCCAAAATTGAAATGATCGAACGCTAGGAAAAAAAAA